CAACTCCTTGCTATTGTGAACAAAGTCGCAATAAACATGGGTGTGCATATATCTGCTTGGATGTCAGTTATGGTCTCTTTAGGGTATATTCCCAGCAGAATCACTGTGCATTTGGTGACACCTAAAAATACAACAAGTTAACAAATTTGTCTTTTGTTGAATCATTAAGTGTGTGGTAGTATGTCACAACAATAATATAGAAAATTACTACTCATTCCCTCCCTCCCTCACTCATTCGCTCATTACCATTGAGTCTGAACTGACTTATAGCTAAACCTCCTGCAAGTTTTTAGAGGCTGTACATTTCAAGGGATGAGATTGGCCATTTTTTTACCTGCAGAATTCCTGGTGGAATTGAGTTGCATGCTTGTGGTCAGGCACTAGTCTGCCTGAAGTCCCTATTACAAAACTAATATAGCTGTATTAAAATTTAGGTCATCCAAGTTTAATTCATTAAGGTTTAAAGGTGAATCTTTCTTCATAAACATTGCTTGGTACAGCTTGGTACACTGGTAGCAAAATAAGTGAATACTAAGAATTCGAGAGTGCCTGAAGCTTTATACTCTAGTATTCATCACTCCCTCCTTTCTTGAACTCACCTAGAGTGGAGCTTTAATCCAGATTACAATTCCATATGGAGCAGCTGATTCAATAGTAAATGCTACTGTGACATCTGGTAAATCAGGGGAGCTTCAAGTTTCCCTCCTCCTCTGCTCTTGCAGATAAAACCTCCTAACCAAAAAAATCCTCCTTGTCATGAGAACAAGGAAGAATGCCTGCTTATCCCTAAATAACAAATGTCAGATCTCTTCCAGCCTGTAGACCTATTAAACAAGTTAGTCACAAACATCCATGGGAACCAGGAAAAAGTTTATCTTCTTGTCTCTACAAAGCTGATCCCATAGTCTCTGATTATTTACTTTGTTCCCAAGTTCAAACCCTATGTGTTCTTGCATGAAGTGACTCCTTGGACTATAAGTAGATGTGACTAATAAACTACTTTTGGTCACACATGTCTAGTTTTGGCTGGTTCCCCCTCCCCCATTCTTATATTGATTTTGGATCACCTATTTCATTGAAGAAGAATTTATGCCTTTGAAATGTAGTGTTGGTGATGAGTATTGAATATCCCATGGACTGTCAAAAAACAAACAAATCTGTTTTGAAGGAAGTACAAACAGTGTGCTCCTTAGAGACAAGGATAGTGACACATGTTGATGAAGTTAAGGCTTCAGTGAATGAAAGAAGGTTTTCAACAAGATAAATTGAAACAGTGACTACCATAAAGATCTTGAGCATGGAGGAAATCATGAGGATGGTGCAGGATAGGGACAAGATCTGTTGTTCATAGAGTTGCTATGATTTGCAATTAGTTGACTTGATGGCACATCTAACACGAATATCCTTAATATGGGTGCACAATTAGGATTCTTTCTAGCTAACCCTGATCATGGTGTGAATTTCATATGGTTCCCTAGTGGTAAGAACCTGCACTGCAATCTCAAATGCAAGTGGTTTGAATCCACCAGCTTCTCCGCAGGAGAAGGATGACCAATCTCCTCCTGGGTGATTAATTGCCTCTGAAAACCCACACAAGGGTCAGCTAAGGATCAGTTCTGACTTGATGATACTCAACAATAACAATAACTATTCTTAATGCAAAATTATATAGTAGAAATCTCGTTCCATTCATCTGCTTCATTTAACATTCTCAACTTCCTTTCTCTGTTCAGTTCAGATCCCAACTCTTCCATAGAACACTCCTCTCTTTCATCTCCTACCTCTTAGGGCTGGCTTACTAGGCACTGGCTTCAGCATGAGAGTACATATGACTTCTTCACTTCAGACTGACTGGCTCTTTCTGCTCTTTTGGGTTTGATAATTCTCCAAGATGGCTCACAACACTCACAAGAGACATCATACTTGCAATAACGCAATAACAGCTTTACTATGCAAAACCCCCAACAATTCCTCAATCCTGCAAAAATAAGTAAAAAGACATCCAAGATGAAGTTTGGGAGGGATTCCAGTAGAGCTTCCATGTTCCAAAGAGGATCAATTACCCTCCTGAGCAGATGTCTCATCATGTGGTCATAATACGCCTCTTGAGTCTTAGTCAATATTGGGCCTCCAGTTGAGCCTCTGTCCTTCAGGTTCTCAGAAACTCAGATCAAAATGTAAATTACTTTCTGTACCTCACAGTGCCATCCTTCCCTCACCAAGCAAATGATGAGAAAACACAGACGATAAGATGTGTCATATGGTAGATATCCATCAACAGGTAGTTAGTTTAAATACAATATGGTATATTTGCACTCTAAATATCGTACATTTTCCTCAATTTCTTCAGAATTGTTGTGCTATCTGCTAAATGTAGGTTGCTTATGTGTGATGTCACTCTTCATATAGTCCAGTTTCTTGAATAATCTGCTTAGCATATTGAATTGGTGTGGAGAAGAGATACAACCCTGATGCATACCTTTTCTGATTATAAACCATTATTTGGACATACTGCAGGAGGGGTCAGTCCTTTGAAAAGAGGTCATCCTGGGAAAAGAATAAGGTCAATGAACAAAAGGAAGATCTTCAGGAGATAAGATTGACACAATGACTTTAATAAGGGGCTTGAGCATCAGCAGAGATTGTGAAAATGACACAGGATATGGCAAGGTTCAATCTGTTGTTCATATGGTCTCTATGTGTTATAGTAACTTGATGGTACCTGACATCAATAATAAATGTGCAACTATTGTTCATGAGGTATAGATTTAAGCCCTAATATTATTTCCTGCATATAACTTTTCTTGTGCTCAAGAGCCTATCAAACCTTTGAAATGATCCTTCTCTGCCCCACCCAGAACTTGCTGCACAAGAAGTCTGGATTTTTTAAGAGAATAGGAATTTCTGAAACCACGGAGGATATTCTTTCTTCCTCAAAAGCCAAGTCCAGGTCACCAGGTGACCTGTGTCTAGTGGAACTGTGTGAAGAGTCCAAATGCTGAGAGCTCCTAAGGCAGACACTTAAGAAGCAGGAGGCATTAGGTATGGTATCTGGACCCCAAGGCCAGATTTGCACGTGAGTAGTGCCCTCACTGGAGGAGAGTCAAAGGTGTGGGGATTACATCACAAAGAGACTGTGTGACTTTATAGCAGGAAGTGTAATCAAAAGACACAGTAGAAGGGGCTGAGTTAAGGCTGTGAATAAGACACAGACATGAACTGAAAGTATCAGATAGGAAAAGCAGTGGACTGTATCACTGGATCACAGTACACAGTAAAGAAGAAGGGTGTCAAGGTGGCAGAGCAGGCTGGGAAGTGAATGTAAGGTTCAGAGTCAGGAAGCCTGAGGGAGTATAGGGTTTTGGAGTCAGACTACCACAGCATCAATTTCCATACTCCTTTTATGACTGAGGTTATGACAAAAAAAGAGTGGGTAATGACACACACAGGATTCAATTTAGACATCTGAGTCCAGTGGAGAAGTTTTTATAGAAATTCAGATCACATCTGGATTTAGAAGAACCATAACAAAGACGCCTTACCTGACTTCTTGTGGGTGGCCTTTAGAGAAGGGGCAGCCCTAAGTTTGATCCTGGTGACTCGGCCCTAAATCCACCTTGCCTAACAGTGAGATAGGCTCCTTCTTGGTGATATCTTTGAACCAAGAGAGGCAGCAGCAGCCACCTTGAAAAGACAAGAAAAGGACACAACTGCATACGATATTATGACCAGACCTAGATGGTCCTCCCTCCTCCTACTGATTATTCTGGTAGCCTTGGAGGCTGCCACAGATCCAGCAAAGAATCAAGTGAAGGTGCTGAGGAAATTAATGCCAATCAATTCCTCAAATGCCAATGTGAAACAGTGTTTGTGGTTTGCCATGCAAGAATACAACAAAGCAAGTGATAACAAGTACATCTTCCAGGTGATCAAGATAGTGCAAGCCCAGCTGCAGGTAAAGGTGCTCTCTACAAATAGAAAGACATTGAAGCATAGTGCCACAGTGAAGACAGATGGAAATAATGGAAATGTGAGAGAAAAAATTGACATACATTTTGAATAATATTGCATGAGTTCCTTGTTTTTCATTGCAGCATAGTATTCCATTGTGTGAATATACCATAGTTTCTCTACCCATTCGTTTGTTGATGGGCACTTAGGTTGTTTCCAAACTCTTTGCTATTGTGAACAAAGCCGTGATAAACATAGGTGTGTGGAGGACATTATGCTCAGCGAAATATCTCAGTCACAAAAGGACTTAAACTGCATAGTGCCACTGCTGTAAAATGGGACTGACATTGAGGTTGGGGGGGTGGAGAATGAGAAAGATGGGATAAATAATTTATACTGCATTGAAACAAATGAGGGAGAAAACTGTTTAAAAGAGATATATGATTGGGTATTATTGTCATGACGGGAGCCTAGATCGAAGGCTGCATATTGGATTGGACTTAGGGGAAGGGACTGT